GAGAAGAACCCGTCCAGAAGACCTATACAATTTTTTTCTTTTTGATTTTTACCTGGATTACTGAGATGCATCAGGACATCAGGACACAGAGATAGTTATTCATAAAGTCAAAATTTTAAGGTCATCAATAAACAGACATTTATTATACAGTATTTAGGAATGTTCCTTGTTCTGGTAAACGTTTTTCTTACTGAGTGGAAAATGGTCATAAAAATTTATAGTTTTGAAGTATGAATAAAGACTGTTTAAGATGTTAAAATAAAGTTGCTTCTATTTATAATTTTTTTCAGTTCTACCAGGAGGTTAAGGACTGGTGGCTATTTGGCTTCTACTTCTGCCTCCCTCTGGCATGCACAGGGATCTTCTACACACTCATGTCCTGTGAGATGCTCAGTCGAAAAAAAGGCATGCGCATCGCACTCAACGACCACATGAAACAGGTACAAAGGCAGAGTGATGGTGGATCCCTTTTGAAAAGTGTTTTTTTTAAATAATGTAAATATAAAGAAACATTAAAGGAATAGTTCCAGTGCTCAAAGTGGCTCAGCACTCTTCAGTACACAGAAGTTTTGGACTTAATGTACCATCACTTCTCTTAAACGTGCTGGAACTCTGCATCCGTTTAATCAGTTAGCTAAGGCCAATTCATATCTTTTGTGAAGTGGGCTTCTCTGGAAAGTTTCTGAACAATAACTATCTTACTGCTGAAGATATCTTTTTGAACCAATTCAGTTCTGACAAATAGAGCTAAACTTTGACCAGACTGCTGAGCGAACAGCTAGCAAATCTAATAAAAAATAAATACATAAAAATGCCCTTTTTATAAACCTTTACATCACTGTCAGTTTCACATGAAATTATTTTGGTGGAAATATTATGGTATTCCTCCAAGGAAGTGCTACAGTTTGCTGCTGTTACTCGCTTGCAAATGATCACTAAATTTTATGCAAACAACTGTGTATTGTGAAAATGACTGATGTGATGGTTTGTAAAAGGCTTTCAAACAAACAGCTATAAATTGTTTTACATAATGAAATTTACATAATGAAATGAATGACAATCTATCTTCTTGCATTATAATTCAGAAAAGAAAAAAAACACAAAAGAATATTGCTCCAATGTTTCTTTATTTTTTATGCAAATCCTTGCTTTAATCAACTGTTATTTGACAGTTGTGATTATGTGTTTTTCTGTTTTATTTTATTTTTTTACTAAATTGATCACTATGGTTTAGTTGACTGTTTTATTATGAAATATATATGGTTATTTGTGCTTGAATCTTAGACAAATACCTTAAGTTTTATTTTAGTTGAAATAATTCTTTTCTATTTCATTAAAACCTAGTTCCTTGTCATTTAGTATTTGTCCTGCCAAAGAACTGAGAACAGCACAGCCTGACCTTGGTTCTTTGTGTTAGTGTGCAGACATTTACCATTTTGTTTACCAGACTGATGGCAATGGCAAGTTCTTAGAGTAAACTTCTGATCCACCTGTTGACTAAGCCAAAAGTCGAGAGTACATCTTTAGTGTCTTTCTGTAGGAGTCACCTCGAGTGAAATAATCAAGGAAACTGTCTTGGACCTCAGACCTCTGAAGGGCCTTTAAAGAGACAAAAACTCTGTTTCACTTAGAACTGAATTCAGGCCACCTCAGGTCATCTTAACTTGTCAAAGAGACATTCTCCTTTTCTTAATCAGATAATAGACAGAAGAATCTTCTTCTTATTTGATTTATTGTTCTCTTAACTGAAAGTTATTATGCATTTTGATWATCAGAGAATGTTTATCAAAGTTACAGGAGAAAAGAGGACAGGTCTCTTTTCTCCCTCAGTATGATTTCAGTTATGTATGGATTTTCTGTGCAAAAATCTAATTTAACTAAACTAATCTTTATGGTTTAAAGTTGATGAAACATCAATGTTTTACTTGTCTGAATCATATTTGCAAATGTTTTGAATTTGAAGCAATTCATTCTTTCAGTTATGTTTTTAAAGAAGTTCTCATCAGATAATAATTAAACAGGTCATGATATGTTTTGTTTCTGAACTACACAGAAGCAATAATCTTTGTTTAGCTTCAGGAGGTGACGGCAAGTCTCTGTACTAACACTTTCCTTGATATCTTCCTTTTCTAATCTATCCTCTGAAGGCGGAACTAGGAAACTAAGCTTCTTTAATAACTAAGTTTCCGCCTGGGAGGCAGAAAGTGATGGACCGCCCGTCTGTGACGACGGACAGTCTCAGCTGGATTCTCCCCAGAGAATCAAAGCCTGTGTCCAAAACGACAGGCTGGGTCCTCCGGAGGACCCAGACTACCCGGTCGACGTGGGCCGGGTCCTTGGTAGACTGGGAAGACCGGAAAAAAAAAGGCTGTGAATTTGGACGGTCTAGCCTCCCGTCCTTACCCCGGCCTACGTCCTGTCACCTAGCAACTGTGATGACGCTAAGCAAGCAAACTCAAGTCAAAATTAGAAAAATATCAATATATTAGCATTATTA